CTACAATGCTGAATCCCTGATATTCTTACTGTACACAATTAGTAAAACCCACATATAGCAAAGTGCTCAAACAGTTTTGCTTTGTTAAAAATGTAATTGGTAATATCTGTTAAGTTCACAATACATTTTTAAAACCACAGGGAATGAAAATCTTTTTGTTGTAAACATGAATTTGTTATAAGCATGTTTGATATAAGTGTGTTTTAGTGTACTAGGGAGTTTTGTAATCCCATTTCCCTCATATTCACTTCATCAACGTTGGACCCACTTATGATAAATATAAATTTTGAAGTCTTAGAATTAAAACTCCTGAATTTTTTAATAGAGAATTTTCATAACCTTTCTAACTTTAATGGATGGATATATTAAGGACTATACATTTTAGCAGGCAGATGGATAGACAGGTCAATTACAAATGTACATGTAACAGGGCATTTAGACTTAATTAAAGATTATCCTTTTTCCAGTATTTAAATTCACTTGATATCTGAATCAGTAATTTTTTTTCTTCCAGGGTCATACATTATCTATATCATTTAAAGCTAATTCTTAATGCATGAATGTACTCTTTTTGTTTAAAATAACCAGCTTTACTTTAACACTTTAATCCATTCCAGATCAACATCCAGATGATAAATTCCAGCACAATCAAAGATCAGATTTTAAAATTCTTCAAGGGTCTGACAAGACAAAAATCTTAGTTTTGTTCAAGTGCATTTTATTATATCTGAATTGACTGCCGATACACGCATTCAACAGGTGTAATGGATACGTGTATCAAGTATCTTGGCAGACGACAGATCTCTTATCAGAAATTAATGCGTTGTTAGACCTGTTGCCAAAGTTGTCCAAATAAAGTATTAAACAATTGTATTCAAAGTGTTGTGGCAGATTTTTTCTGACTGAAGTTAACAGTAAAGAATGCATACTTGTTACATGTTAAATAGGACACTTACCAATTCAAATATTAACAGAATGCACAGTGTTCATTTTAGATGAGATCTTTACTCTTTTTAAACAGTACCATAAGCTAAACTAGAAATATGTCCATAGGACACGAATGCCTCGCCGAGGTTATATTAGTAATGCAACATAAAAATTTGTATTAGTGTAAGAAATTTGATGAGAATATCTTGATTAGTTTCTTTAAAATTGAAATCTAAAAAAGTTGGATAAAGATGATAAATTCTCACCAAATTATGTTTAAGTGCATAAGCTAACATAAATATCTCTTAAATGGTTTCTTTAAAACTAAGCAAAATGCAAATTTAAGAAAAGTGAGGTCAAGGTCACAGGAAAGTTCAAGGTCAAACATTTTTGATGCAGTTGAATAGTTCTCAAACATACGTATCAGCATATTAAGTTTGATAAAAATATTTTGAATGATTTATTTAAAACCGAACTAAACACTTATTTAAAATAAATGAAGTTAAGGTCAAAGGAAAGGTCAAGGTCAAAAAATTTCATGCAGTTGAAAAGCTTACATCAGTATGTATTAGCATATGAAGTTTGATAAAAATATTATGAATTGTTTCTTTAAAACTGAGTTAAACACAAATTGATAAAAGTGAGGTCAAGGTCAAATGAAAGGTCAAGGTCAAAAATGTTGAAGCAGTTGAATTGCTTACATCAGTATGTATCAGCATATGAAGTTTGACTCTAATTTAAGAAAAGTGAGGTCAAAAAGGTCAAAGGAAAGGTCAAAGTCAAAATTGTTGATGCAGTTGTATATCGCTAATCAGTATGTATCAGCATATGAAGTTTGATAAAAATATCTTGAATGGTTTCTTTAAAAGTGAGCAAAACACTAATTTAAAAAAAGTGAAGTCAAGGTCAAAGGAAAGGTCAAGGTTAAAAAATGTTGATGCAGTTGAATAGCTCTCATCAGTATATGTATCAACATATGAAGTTTGATTACACTATCTTGAATGGTATTTTTAAATCTGAGCTAAACACTTATTTAGGAAAAGTGAGGTCAAGGTCAAAGGAAAGGTCAAAGTCAAAAAATGTTGATGCAGTTGCATAGCGCTCATCAATATCTAACAGCATATGAAGTTTGATGAAAATATCTTGGATAGTTTCTTTGAAAATGAGCTTTTAACTGAGCTAAATGCAAAGCGCGATGGAAGGACAGATGGAAGGATGGAAGGACAGAAGACGGACATGACAAACACTATATGCCCCGGCCATATTCAAAGCGGGGCATAAAAATAATTTTTTTTATATGAATCAGAACAATAACATATTGTCTTTAAATATCACTCTTTATTTTCCTGTTTTATGACACTGTAGGATTTTCATTGTTCATGGAAAAATTACAAATAAAAAGTACAGTCAAAACTCATTATCTCGAACTCAATGGGACCGAGAAAAAACTTGAAGATATCTGAGGATTCGAGATATCCAGGGTAAAATACTTGAAGAATAAGGGGTTGGACTTCCAAATCACTTCGATATATCCATGGACTTCGAGATATCAGTATTCGAGATACTGAAATTCAACTGTTTTTTATTTCATTATCACTACCTTTCTAATAGGCTCTCTGTTAAGCAATTACCATGTTTGTATCATTTTTATTTCTTAAATTTACATAATAATTATACTTTTGTCTAAATATTATGCAAATATGTACATAATATTCAGAATGTTCTGCTTTTGACTTGTAAACCTATATAGGCACTGGTATGGAATGAAGATGGCACATATATAAATCTAGACAAAAGCTCTATCTTCTCTTCCCCATATTTTCATAAAGACAAAAGCAAACTATTAATTCTTCCTAATCACCACTATGATGGTGGTGGTCTTTGACTTTAATAAAATACTAACAAAGAAATGCTAACAATGACAAGATTTAAATACCTCATCACTCCAGCTAAATTTAAAACCTCACAGATGACATTACTTATTGTTTGCAGAGAACGGTATTTAAAAAAAATATCAATACTAAAATTTGCGTGGTGATTAATTATGGCCATATAAAATCATCATTTTGTCAGTTTCCACAAAAGTTCCTTGGCATGCTTTGTTTTAATTATAAGGACTAAATTTATTGCTCATTTAGCAAGTCATCTACTTTACAAATCTCAGATTTGATCAGACTTGCATATATGTCATAGCCTTTTTTACCTAAAAAGAATTAAAATTTTAAATACAGTGAACACGTTACAATACTTGCTGTGATAAGCTTCCAGGTCACTGAAAAAAGCAAAATGGGAAGGGAGGGAACTATCAGATTTACCTTATATTGAAAAAAGTTCACAAGGTTGGCTTATACATTGTATACAGAAATACACAAAGAAAACATTTTTAGGAAGCTTCTATTAAAACTATTTACCAATTGATTTACATTTATTAAGTCTCTTTTTTTTTCAGATTGAAAATAGTATGTTGTAGCAAAATGTTGGGAAAAATAAAATTTAGCTTCATAAACTTGAACAAAAAATGTCTCTACAGTACAAGGAGATAATTACATGTTACTTCTATGAAGAAAGAAACAAGTTCCTTTCCAATATACTGGTGTTTATCAACTTGATAAAATTGTAGTTAAAAAAACATAGGTAATCAGAGATTACAGACCCCACCTTAGCGAAGTAAGGCAAAGTCCCACACTAAACAATAATCTAGTTATGTGCATCCCTATAGATGTAACATTTATGCACTTTTGGTCTGACAGGGCTTGCAGTTAATTGGGAATGGACAAAACTAAAAACTTTACACTAGTCACTAATCCAGAAAATGTAAGTCAAATTCAGCATCTGAAGCAAGTTTGAGAGTGTTCATCCTGTGATGCATCATCCATGCAAGTTTGGTTAAGATAGGCATTATAGATTCTTGTAATGGACCTGCTCCAAAAACATAACCCTGGTCACTCATCTGGAAAATATAGGTCAGATCCGAAGCAAGTCCAGTAGTGTGCATCCTTAGATGTATCATTCATGCAAGTTTGATCAACATAGGCTTATAGTTACTTGGAAATGAGACATGTTCCAAAAACTTTAACCTGGTCACTCATCCGGAAAATGTAGGTCAGATCCAGCATTTGAAGCAAGGCCAGTAGTGTAGAAGCTTAGAATATATATCATCCATGCAAGTTTGGTCAATAAAGGGCATATAGTTACTTGGAAATGAGATCTGATCCAAAAACTTTAACCTGATCACTCATCCAGAAAATGTAGGTCAGATCCAGCATCTGAAGCAAGCTTGGTAGTGTGCATCCTTAGATGTATCATCCATGCAAGTTTGGTCAACATAGGGCTTATAGTTACTTGGAAATGAGACCTGCTCCAAAAACTTTAACCTGCTCATAAAACATTAACCTGATCATTCCTTAGCTGAAATTGCAGCATCTGAAACCTTGACTGGTACAATGAAATATACTAGAAGCATCTTCCATGCATCTCTGATTAATGTAGGGCACTGAAGTACTTAAAAAGAAAACTGCTCCAAAACCTTTAACCTGGGACACTGATGCCGACACCGATGCCAAAGCCAAGTGTATCACATAAGCTCTCCCCAACTTTGTTGAGGTGAGCTAAAAATTGGGAAAGCTACCATTTGAGATTACATATTTCCATCAACCTTGGAACTGTTGTTAGCTTACCTATATAGTTTGTTAATATATGATATACAAGTATAGTTTGTTAATAAATGGTATACAAGTATAGTTTGTTAATAAATGATATACAAGTAACAGTGTTACTTCTCAGCTCCTCTGCACTTGATAAGGACCCCATCCTACAAAGTCTAGTCCAGTCTACTAATCAGCTCTAATTTTTTTCTTTTTGCATTCTACTTACCAGATCTTTTTTTTTTCTTTTTTTTCAGGCAATGAGGACCCCATCTTACAAAGTCTCTAGTGCATTCTACTTGACCAGATTTTTCTTTTTTTGTGGGCAATGAGGACCCCATATCCTGTGTAATCTTTGTATGCTACTCACCAGATCTTCTTTACTCAATGAAGACCCCATCCCCTGTGTAATGTTTGTATACTACTCACCAGATCTTCTGCACTCAATGAGGACCCTGTCCTGTGAAGTCTGTGATAATCATATGATGTATTTCTGCCTCCAGAACTGTGAAAAAAGAAGTCATATTTAATTCAGTTCATGTACTTTGCAAGTTTCTACTATAAGACTACCAAAGATCTTTACATTAATCTGGATATCACCCAGGATTTTGTTTTGAGACTTGAGTTGGCCCCCTTTATTCTGAATGGTTTTATCAATTTATGTGAAACTCTTTTCAGCCCTACCCAGCTCAAATGGCAATGATTTGAAAAATCTTGAATTTAAATAACATTAGAATGCTTGCATATATCAATCTAAAGCCTACAGAATTTTCAACATTAGAATATTGTGAACAAAGGGTCCATACTTTTTTTTTTACTACATGAGTAGAAACTATCTGGTACTTCCAAGTTCACTCATATCAAAAGGATAACCTATACACAAGCAGAAGGAGTTTTAATGTTGGTGATGTTAAAAACACCTTACTTTTCATTTAAGATAAATCACCTATGCCTTTCAAAATAAATAATTTATACTCATACCAATTCAGCAGAAACAAATTATAATGAACTTAGGATAAGTATGGTATAAATAAACTGGGGACTCTTCCTATCAAATATTCTGTCTTCATGCAATTCATATATGAATAAGGTTCCTTGCAAACATGAAATCTGATTTCTCAAAATGTGGCCTCTGAGGCTAGCAAGTCTTTGAGTTTTGTATATTGTAATAAATGGAAGTTTTCTGTGTATTAATCACTAAGTAGTAGCATATCTACATTATTTGACAGGACTCAATCAAAATAAAAAAACAAAATTATTTTTGAGACATTGGTCTTTGAGTTCAGTCAATACAAGTACTCTTTCGATTGCAAGTTGAAAAGTGAGTGGTCTAATGGTGATATGATGCACACATGAATAAAAGGGTATTCAATCTGCCTCACCCATAGTATTTTTGCAGACTTCCTGACATAATGGCCTGTTCCATTGCCCTTTTCTTCTGGTGCTTTTTGAAGGATCTGTAGATCATCTCAAAGTCATTGTGCTGTTGGTATGAAAATATACCTATTATAATATGTAGTTTAGTCCAGTTACATTACTCTCTTGGTCTTTGAAGACGATTTAGGCCAAAAAAATTAATCTTTACTTTCTCAGGCCAAAATTTTCCAAATTCAATGCGGCAGGCAGTTTTTTTTTTTTTTTTCAGGAAGCAGGTGTCATCTCTGTTCTTGTCAGTTGATAAATAAAATGATGGCATCAACTGAGTCTTCCTTTCTTTGTTCTCTTACATTAATTATAATATGTACTCAACTTTAAATAATGTTATTCCAAATGTTTGTATAAAAGTTAAATTCATAAAATAGAGTGTTAACAAGAAATGCTGATAGAAGGGAAAAACTCAATTTTCTTTTTCAACTTGGATTAAAAAAAGACAATTCAGTTATTTCCCTTTACAATTTGTCAATAAAACTGATCAATAAGGCACTGTTTGATCTTATGCGGGGGTGCCTGAGAAACTATAAATTAATTCTTTCTGCCTTAAAGTACAAAGATAAGGTACTTTGTCTCATTCTGATTTATATATGACTGCCGTCATGAGAAAAGGGCCCTTAAGGTCAAAATTTCACAAATTGACTTTTTGGTATTTTTTGATAGCCTGACTCTTTCTGATTGCAAAAATACATAACTTTTATAAATATCTCACTTTTTCTATATTTTATGAGCATTTTAGTAAGGCGCCTCAAAATAACGTTGACGTTACTCACTGAAAACGTAATGACGTCGCGTGCGTCAAATTCAGTTTCCTAACATTCTTAAAATTATTTAAATAACTTTAATCGTTTTGACACAAATAAACTTGAAAAAAAATGATTTCTTCTTCCAAGCTTCTAGTATGTAATTATTCCTAAGGAAAGTCGACTTTATTCATACTATTTTAGAGACAGATTTAGTGATATCGTAAAGGAGGGGGGTGGGGTGATCAAGACAGGATCTAGGAATGGTTTATATTCATTTGAAAAAATAACATTTGTACAATTCCACTATTTCAGCACAAGATATTCTTTTTATATTTAATACTATAGCCAAATTTATACAATATATAAAACAATTTTAAATTAAAAACCTTAAAAGAAAAAAATCACAGGTGTCTAATAGAGAAAGGATAGATTCAACCCAAGGAAGGGCAACGCGCATAACGCGGGACATCAGCACATCGATCCCGATATATAAAAAAATATTTTTGGTTTAATATAAAGAGGCATCCCCCCCTCCCCTTCGACACACACACTATATCAATGTGATGTTAACCGACTTTAAAAGTTAAATTTGAATAAAAAAGAAAAACCTCGGCCCTGTTTGTTTGTACATAATCAGCAACTTTTTCTGCATTACTGCATGAGTAGAAGCTAGGCTCGTCTAGTATGGACTTATTTCTATATTCAGCGAAACAATTTGTAGTCGACCTAAGCAGTGATTAGTCCGTTGCAATGTAGCAGCAATCTTCGAATGACTTTAAACACCCGAAAATCTACCTTATACGTGACTGAATCATGCGTAGCACGGATTCAACCTATTCACGCGTAAACAAAATGAACAACTAAATGATCTTCTATACCGATAGACCTTCTCTGCATACATAACAAACACACGTGTTTTCCCGTAACTTTTATAAATATATTTGTCAACTTCTTTAAAGTTTTTAAAGTAAATCATGCTTAATAAAAAAAGCGGTTGTAAATGCTTTGTTTTTTTTTTTTTGGGGGGGGGGGGGGGGGGGGGGGGCTTTGCACCTTTGCTTGCTTTCGACGCTACTACTGTATCGCTTGGACACATCTCTTATAAGGGTCGCTTATGTAATGATTCAATGTCGATACGATTTGGAAATTCGCTATCATATTGCCAGATACTAATTACTCAGTATCACCTGCTGGACATGCAAAGATAGCTGGCAGATACGTGTCATATTTTAAGCTTATCATTTGAAACATTTGAAACATTTTATTCACTTTATGGCCTCACATGAGGCATAAAAGTACAAAAAGAAATAAATCAACAATGAAAAGGTAACAAATGAACAAAGGATTAACATATATACAATATTAATTTAGAGGTATTGGAAGGAATTTCAAGAGTGAAATAAAGACATTACAATCTTACAAAATTTAGCCAAGCCAATTAAGGTAAATTTATCATCACTGTTAAACAGGTCAGCAAAACTATTGATATTTTTCACTTTGTAAACTTTTTCAGGTATCAATGCTCAATTCTAGAAAAAATTTAATTCCTTGTAACATTGCGCTCGATCTGAAATAATAACCTCTCTGGATTTTTGGAATTGATAAAATCTCGTCAGATAATAATCACTCACAATGCATGTGTAAACGATTGTCTGGTTTCCAACTCAGATTTACGGAAAGTTCTGTAAAAAATAACATTGTATAGTTTGATCAAAGAGAGGGTTGTACTGCTCTTGACTCTTTTTAATATATGTACACTTAACGGAGTTGGATTTTTCTAGGCAAAATAAAATATAGTTGCTTTACAATTTTGACGAAATCTATTTGAAATTAAAACTGAATATCTCTCAAGACTTAAATATATTTTTACGCAGTTAAGGTCATCTATTCATCTTAATCCGTGACATCGGCTAACCAGACATCAAAGGTTTTTTTTTTTTTTTTTTTTTTTTTTCTTCAAAATTATATATATATTTTTTTATTAAAAGCAGAAAGGTATGTGTATTTGTTTAATCATTCCCTTAAAGTCAGGTACAGTTATAAACTTCGGCCTCATGGTCCATGGAATAATCCCCGTACACCCTTTATTGAACCTGGATAACTAATAGTATCCCGGCATCAACGGAACTTTCAGAAAAAATCGAGATATCCGGGTTATCGAGATGAGACTCGACGTCCAAGATTTAAACGCGAAACGTGACTAATTCATCATATACATGATTTCAATAGTCAGTAAAAAAAAAATGCTTCCTTTCATATTTCACGGTCATCAAAATGTTACATGAGCCTCCGTATTTTTTTGTTTTTTTTTTGTTTTTTGTTTTTTTTTTGTTTTGTTTTGTTGTTTTTTGTCGCTCGAAACATCACCATTGCTTTCTTTTCCATCTTTCTCAAAATGTAGATGTTTTGATTGTCTTTGTTGTCTTACAGTTGGTGTTAATGTCGTTGATGATTAGAACATTTTTATTACATTATTATATGACATTCATAACCACTTGTTAGTAGTACTTTTTTCCTCTATCAGTGATCAATACTCAAAAGATGTCGCCATATCAACATTTACCAGAAGTTCGTAGTTTCGTAATCTATCGTTTAATCTGTTTTTTCTTCTTCTGTTTCATACATATTTTCACGCATAATGTCACGTTCGATATAATTATTATTTTCTTCAACGTTGAGTGTAATGCTCATGGAAAAGCCCACATTAAATGTATTTTGATAAAATTCCTAAATCAAGCGCAATTTAACTTCAAGCCAGCTTTCATCGGAATAATTTAAGAAAATTGATGAAGTAATTGTTATCAGAGTGTACTTTTTTTTTTTATACATTTATTTGATCATTTCATTATTTTTTTTTTAATTATATTTTTAGCAAAATTTTCGTGGCACCGTTTTCTCCATTTTTTTCCTAGGCATATTCTTTTGTTGTTAATTTTGTATAGATTTTTTTATATAACATTTATACAATCCACCTCTTTTCATTTTTTTGTAGTTCATGAAGGTTCTAATCTCCCATGTTACAAGTATCTATATCCAAAACAAGATGTTCTCTTTTTTTAGTTTGAACTTTTACCGGTTGTCTTTTTATTCCTCGATTTATCTATTTTTTTATTTTTATTTTTTTGTTTGTTTGTCAATAATCTCTCTCTCTCTCCCCCCCCCCCCCCCACAACCACACACACCGACGCTTCACCCTTCTCTGGTCTAATTGTGCATATCAATATGATTAACTATATGGATTAAAATTTAAATAAAGACTTTTAAATGAAGGAATTTTTAAATTAAGAAGCACTAATAAAGTACGCGTATATGTGCATTGATCTCTCTTTCTCTCTCTCTGGACAAAAATATTTACGTGCATGTAGAATACCTTTTAATAATAAGTCTAATTCACATGAGTCAAATTTATGTATTTGAAAATTGCTCAGAAAACAAATAAACAGTATTTTGAGTCATGCATAGTATATAGACATCGCTATAAATCGCTGTATTGAACAATGTGTTCAATGTCGTGTTTAGATTAATTATGCGATATCAAGTAAAATGCTTAATAATAAACAGAATTATGAATAAATACATGTACTTAATAGTAATAATATTATTTATTACAAATTTCAGCATCAATTTTCATATATTTTTTTTTCATTTCACCTGGAAATCCAATTTTATTTCTTGTTCACGAAACACTGTCGACAAAAATTACTTCCGTGTTCACAACACTGCGACTTTGACGTCGTTTTCTGAGCATTGTGACGTCAAAAGATAAGGGCCCTTTTCTCATGACGGCAGTCATATTATTTACAAGTGTACTTGACCATTCAAAAAAAAAATGAATGCACTTTTCATATTATACATAAAAAAATAGTGTACAATTCTTTTATTCAACTGACCTTTTAATAACATCAGTGATTGAACATCATAGAGAATAGCAAAGGAGAATATCTCCTCTCAACAGAGCACAAATTTCTCTATAAGATCAATCTATAGCCATGTCCAGCAACACTAAACCCAGTGGTTCAGAATTTCACAAATCTGGTAAAAATACCCTTGCTCATTGCAGTTTGGTGCCTAGATACCCAGAAGTTCAAAGCATTAATGTATTTTCAATATATAATCGATAGAGTGCTGCAGTAACACCAGAACCTATGACCCAGGGGCTGTGAATTCCACAATTTTGAAAAAGGAGCCATTGCATGTCAAAATATGCACTTAGTTAATCTGCTGAATACCCAGAAGAAGAGAAGAGGATTTTTAAAGAATTAATGTATTTTCACTATAGAGTCACACTCTATCACAAGAGCCCCTGACCAGGATAAGTGAAATTCACAATTTCAGAAGAGGCATTCTTGCTAATCATACATCATGCAGTTATTTTGTCTGTTTAATACCCAAGGGCAGAGAAGAAGATTTTCATTGAATTAATGTATTTCCACTATATGTATGATCAATAGAACCTTGCTTTAACACCAAAACCTAAACATGTACAGGGGCCATGAACTTCACAATTTTGGAAGAGGCACCTTTCCTCATTATAACCATGCACTTGGTATCTCTGCTAAATATAAAGGGGGGAGGAGAAGAAACAAAGGATTTATGCATTTTCACTTTAGGATCAATAGAGCCCCACCTTAACTCCAAGTATGACTGCTTGATTTCGAGGAGTAAAGAAGAAGATTTTTGAAAACTGTATTTAATTTTGGGGAATTTTGGTCCACCCCTCAGGCCCCAAGGGGTAACAGAAAATGAAATTCACAATTCTTGTCCCTCTTTGCCCAAAGATGCTCTAAAATTAATTTGAAATGATTTAGTGGTTTATGAGAGGAAGCTGAAAATGTTCAAAAGTTTACAACAAACAACGATGGATGACACATGTCTATACATAAACTACAGATAGAAATTGGTCATTTGAGTGACTCAGGTGTCCTAAAAATGGAGGAAATATATAACAAATACTATATGCCCCCACCATATTCAGACAGGCATAAAAATCTTGAAGGGCAAAGATGCTTTTTTTACTATCATTAACAAACTTCATTCACCCCCACTGAAGAAGTTGCACCTGCACTGAATCAGAGGGCACATGTACTCTGTTACTCATCATCATGTCATCAGAGCTTATCCCGCCTCTGATAAAAATCTTGAAATTTCATTGGTTGAAAAGAATACTGTATTAAACCAAATGATGCTGTCTACTGACATTATATTCTTAATGTGCCCCCTCCACTGACCTACCCACCACACATCAAATCAATGTGCCCCCTCCACATGCCATACTGTTCAGAACATATTCAATATGTTGTTTTCATTTGCACACGCAAAGAGCCTAATAACTAAAGTCACATAAGCATCAAACAACATCACAATGTAAACAATTGTTATGGAAGAGTTTAAGTTTCTACATAACTAATAATGTCTTACCTGAAGATTTAATGTTGTAGACAAGAGATCATACACTTCCCTTAGCAGGCTACTGATCTTCTGGCCACAAAACATAACCTGGGCTCTTCTCCGCTTGGATTCCTCCTTTTTTGGATCCACCTCTTTCTTTCTTGAGATGTCAGCTATACCACCAAACTCAAATGGTCGAACTCCATTGGCTTTGGTCTCCTATGAAAAGACAGCCACAAAGTGTCGGTATGTACTTGTGTATGTATGTTATATAACACAGAAAATACACTAAATCAGAAACACTGAGTAACCTCTGTAGACAGACACCTTAATGTTACTCTTAATATGATTGTACATGTACTGGTCTGCTCTTCTTATCAATAGATGAATAAAAGTTGAATCTGGACTTGTACTATATTTTTTTCAAGTATAATGTGTTCTGTTGTTTTCTAAACTTGTGCTATCTTTTACTGAAAGTTTTACCATAGAAATGCAGTGTAGTGTAAATTATAAACTTGTTATCTGTAATAACACAGTATCTATAATAACATAGTATCTGTACACACCAGCTGTAGTAACATTGTACCTTTATGTTACCTTCAGAAACATATAATCTCTAGGTAAATAAATATTACCTTGGGTTCTTTGTATATCATGCCACTCACAGAGGACACAAAATCTGCAACCATGTTCAATATCACATTCATCTGGAATGGAAAAAATACAAGCAACTCTAAACACTGCATTCAGCGAGTTACTACGAAAAACATTATAAATCAACTTGCATTGACAAAAACATCCCAAATCAATAGTGATTCTTCCTATCCATTTTTTTCTTTTCCTTTTGCTCAATATTATATGTCAGGTTCTTAGCAAAAACCTGATGTGAGTATTATCAAAATGTACCCTGCTCTGCAAATCACCAACTTGAAAGAGGACTTTTTCTCTTTGGGATATGTCCTCGTGATCTACAGGTTGTTCAGTGTAAGTGGGCTCCTGTCTGGTAAATCTAGTGGGGGCTCTAACTAAAGATGGCAGTTTTGTTTTCTCTTTTCTACTGGGCTGAAAAGGAGATGCAGGTATATAAAGAGAGACAACTCCTTTGAGAAATAATTAGGAATTTTGTCTACAAGAGTTATTTTTCCTTTTCATCTAGCATGAAGTTTCAAATTATAGTATTACAATTAATAATTTACATTATAAAAAGTTATCAAGTATATTTGATCTCTCAAAATGATGTGGTTATATACAATCTGTCAAACTTTTAATACCCTTTTTGGCTGAGTCTTCTGTTTTTCTACAGCCAAAACAGCTGTTTTGGGTTTGATAGGTTTTTCTGCTAACACAGTTTCTTGCTTTATCTGTATGAGAAAAAGCAAGATCTTTGTAACTATATTATCAAAAACATATGCGCTATAAATAAGTATGTACCTAATGCATTTATATTTTACAGTTAGATAAATAACATGAATTCTGTATTCAATGACAACCACCCATCTTCCCATCATACCGGAATCCATAAAAAGAGCTCATATCAACTTCACAGAATTTACCCTGAAGTGCCCATGATCAAATTTTAATTTATGTCAGATTTTTTTTTTCTAGTAATATATACAGAAATGGTTGTGCTTCTTAATTAACCTCCACATGAGCTTCTTCCTCTTCATCCAGATCTTCCACTTCTGTATCTTCCTCTTCCTGTTCTACAGGTGCTTCCTCTTCTGATGGGAATTTTGTTGGTTCTACTTTCTGAATTTCCTGAACCTGCATAGGGGCAACTTCCTGAACACTTTCAACTTCCTCCATTTCAACTTCCTGTCTAAGTTCAGTGACTAAAGATTGTTGTGATGATGGTAGTTTTGGCTCCATCTCAATGTGTTTCTGTCAAGAAAAACTTGTAACTCAATCTTTAACAATCTTCCAAAAATTAAATTTTAAATGGAGGTATTTACTACATAATATCTATAAAAAATATAAAATTAGTCGCAAGTGACTAAATGTTCATTTCAATTCTTATTCTACATAATGGATTACATGATAATGGATTACATTTACCAACCAATTTTCAACCAATTCACCTTTAAATTTTCTGCAAACACATGATACTACCATTTATTTATGTTATCTTGTTTTCCATTTTTTGTTACCTGATCAGGAAAGATGTGTTCAGACTGCAGCAATCTCAGATCAGAGATTTCTCTGTATGCCTCACTTAATTTCATTTCCGTTTCAGCCAACAGTTTCTTGAATTGCTGGATTGCATTGGTTAATTTCTCTATCTCAGCATCTTTAGCTTTTATTTGGTCAGCTGTGTTGGTGTCCTTTATCTCATCAACAGGAACCTTCTGTAAGTAAAACCCAATAACATGACATTAAAAAAATATGTACTAACTAAAAGTGAAAAAGATGCCTTATTCTCAGCATGGCAAAAATTTTTGAGATATCTACTGTGCTTTTAAATAATACATGACTGGTACTACTGATTGCAGTAACAATTAACATAAAACCTTTTCAGGAATTCCAGCAGGTTTAACTCTACTGCATTTCTTACAAGGAGGAGGTGGTCTGCTGCAATACACATAAATATATACATATCATGATATACATACAAGGTGCTTCCTTTTCATAAAACTATAGTTATATATATATCTAACTTTCATAATACCTTTCGAAAACTTGGAACATTGAAACTTTAGAGCAGAAAACATGCACGTATGGTAATGAAAGGATAAGGTGATATGAACAGTACAGTATTTCAAACAACAAATGTAAAATACAGTCAATCCACTTTATTTTGAACTTGACTGGGCAGAGTAAAAAGATATCTATGTATGATGACATGATACCAAATTAATGATGATGATGATCTGAGGATTCAAGATACTGAGGTTAAAAAACATAAACATAAAGAAAAGTGGTTGGGATTTCCAGCTCATTTTGACATCCATGTGTTTGAAATAAAAGTTTGAGATAGAGCCAAACCTCAGAATTCAAATAAAAGAACACACCTTGAAGCCTTCTTGACAGCAGCTGCTAATTTTTTGATTTCATTTTCCTTGGCCACTAAATCAGCATTTAATTCATCCACTTTTGCACACAAGTTTTTGTTTTCATTTTCTAACTCTGTTAGAGTTGCATCCTAAAAGTATATATAAGCATTAAAATGATAAATATTTCTAAGTTCCTTTTGTGAATTAGTATGATCTGTATGGTGGCTATAAAGTCACTCCTTTAGAATCCATCATAATAAGTGTATTATAATATAATAATAATTGAATCTTTAATAACCCAGTAGAGGTTAATATATTTAAGAAGACTTCGTAGACCTGATACTTGGCAGTTTTAAAATGTATACTTCATTTTAAATTTTCCAAACTTCAGACTTCAACAATTGCCTCTCTATAACAAATGAATTAAGTTTTACATCCAAATGTTAAAAATTTGTCTGCCTTGTCTAACAGTACAGGAGTTATGTCAGCTAATTTCTGGTTTTACATACACGTACATGCATCATAAAAATAAAGCATAATTTGCAGATTTCTGCAGGACATAAACAAGCCATCTACTGACTACTGGTAACTGCCAAAACTATAATGTAACTGAAGATAATCTACTGAACACTTAATTTGTTTGTTGGTGTTACCTTTATAATGCATAATTTTAATTGAAAATTAACAGTTTGAAACCATGCAGATTACTATTTTTCCCTGGTAACTGAGTATAAATTTTGGTATTCAATAACCTGACCTCCATATGACAAATCGGTAAATAGGTATTTACTGACAGCCTACTTTTAAAGTCTTTATCTTAAGGTGTTGAAGTTTTAATCTATCGACCTAATATATTACTGATTAGCATGTCCTTTTTTAAGAGATAGATAAATATTTCTTCACTAAATACTCAGTCTGAAATATTATACACAATGATTTAAATATCTTCATAAAATTTTATGCATTGTACCTTTGCTTCAAGTCTGGGTTCAAATTCCCTCACTTTCAGATCTGTTTCCTTAAGTTCCTAGAGTTCACATAGAAAAAAAAAATCAAAATCTCAGTCTTGAAAAATATGCATCAAATTGAAAAGTGCTTGTGTTAAAAGAATCTATAAATAATTTAAGAATCATTGGCTAAAGTACAGTAAATATACTGTTAATAAATGAACAACTTTTACTGTTAACAATTTGCTTTAAATAACATTACAGGGCAATTATAATCAATTTTTTTTTCATGTGGTGAAAAATTTATCAGAATTTTCTTATATGATGAAACAGACAGATTCAGGATCTTTTTATTTATTTATTTAATTAATTTTATTATTATTATTATTATTTTTTTTTTTTTTTTTTTTTTTTTTTTTTTTTTTTTTTTTTTTTGCAGTTAATACAGGAGACATTTGACTTTCCAATTAGTACACAAATTCAGACATTCCCTCTGCAACACTCTCTGTTCATCTTTCAGGATCTGTCCATTTTACCTTTTTCAGAGCTTCAATCTTTCAGTATCTGTCCATTTTACCTTTTTCAGAGCTTCAATGGTGTCTTCCTGCTGTCGTATTCTAGTCCTCAGAATAAAGGGGTCACTGGGCATCTCTTTTGGACCATCATCACGCCCTGTCAGCTGTGGTTTGATTAAATGTTCAAATGAATTAGAATATCTAGGATATTTCATTCTATGTACACGCAATCAATGCATCATGATATTACTACACATAGTGTCACATATTCTGCAATTTTACACCATCAGTAAATATTCCATGCTGTGTCTTAAATCATATTGTTTTTCCATTAATATTAGGAGTATATGTTTAGAATAAGTACAGTATATGTATAGGAATTTTATGTCCAATTTTTCATGAGACTATGCAACCTATAATTACATGTCAATGTTAATTAAATACTGCTCACTTTTCAAATTAACTTCAAGGGGATTGAAAGTTGTTTTTTTTTAACAAAATATAAACATTTTCAGAAGTACGAGTACAACTGTACGTGTACATAAAATGGAGTATTCAAAATTTAGCACAATCACTGGGTATGGAGTTGTTGGTGAAATCATGAATTAGCGCTATACATGTCCGTGCCATATATTGTATTTATAAATAATTTCTTAGCGGTATTCATGATTTAGCGCATCATTGTCTGCGCCAAAGCTGCTAAAATATGAAACCCGCTTTTTTAAGTACACATGCAGTACTATACTATTTAACCTCCACAAAACCTATCTGCCTAACAGTCCATAGCTGTTTCTTAGTTTCAACACTTGTAGTACGTCAACACTAAACAATTAATATCTAGCTGAACAATGGTTGGTGAAAATTTTTGCCTCTCTGTGTCAAAAGACTGGACATTAAGAAAAGTGTTGGCCTTAGTCTTAAGTTTTGGAATCGTCACTTTATAAAAGTTTCCATAGATTTTGAAGGTACCCCTTACCTCCACAAATATTATTGAAACAGAACTGTTTTATTACAAAGTTTATATATACCAACTTTCCTAACAAATGCAGGATTCTCATGATTTGAACCTCCCATTCCTCTTTCTCAACTGGAAAAGTAAATACCACTTTTCCTGATTTTGGATTTTTTCCATGAGATGGAGTCCACAGTACATGTATATGAACTTGTGTCTTATGATTAAGTAATTTATAACTACACTACCAGATACGGCACTGTGCATGTCACTGCATCCCTAACATTTACCATCTAATTGGATTAACCACCATGATACTTTGTGCCAAGAGATTGGGCATTGTGTTTACTATGTCCAGAAAACTTTTCCATTGTGACTACAAATGCATTTGATAGGGCACCCAGTCTTTCCAATAAGAAGACATCGGACCATCAGACCTGACCGATGTACAGTGCCTCATGACTGTTGCATCATTTTTTACACCAGACTAGAATGTCTGATGTCTAAGTGTCTGATTTTGAGTTTAACCATTTAGATACAGATTCATAAAAATAGGTAATCAAAGATTACAGAGCTCACCTCAATGAATGTTATCTTAAAATAAAGCAAAGTCCCACACTAAACTAATAATCTAGTAGTGTACATCCTTTGATGCAACATTTATACAATTTTGGTCTGAAATGGCTTGCAGTTACTTAGGAATGGACTTATTCTAACTTTAAAGGACTCATTATGCAGAAAATATATGTCATATCTAGCATCTGAAGCAAGTTTGCTACTGTTCATCCTTTAAAGCTTCATCCAAGACATCAATGCAAATTGATGTCTTTGATGTCTACCTGTTCCAATATGTCAACATGTTCCATTATATCTACATGTGTCATTATATCTGCATGTGTTATGATGTCTGCATGTGACATCATGTCTATATGTCTACCCATCTATAATGTCTATTGTGTCATTTTGTCTAACTTTAAATGTCTATGTGTGCCATTGTCTCTACATGTCTCATTATGTCTACCTGTGCAATTATGCTTACCTATTGCATTGTGTCTACCTGTGTCCCTGTGTCTACGTGTGGCATTATGTATACCTCAGGCATTATGTCTATCTATTCCATTATGTCTATTTGTGCCATTATGTCTTCATGTGCAATTATGTCCATCTGTGCCTAATGTCTCTACAATGCCATCATTTCTGCCTGTGTCATTATATCTACATGTGCCATTATGTCTTTATGTGCCATTATATCTACATGTGCCATTATATCTACATGTGCCATTATATATATATGTGCCATTTTGTCTATCTGTGTTATTATGTCTACTTGTGCTATTATATACATAAGCCATTATGTCTAAACGTGCCATTATATCTACATGTGCCATTCTGTCTATCTGTGTCCTTATTTCTACTTGTGCTATCATGATATCTACCTAGGCCATCATGTTTTTCCGTCCATGTCTACCTGTACCATTTTGTCTAGCTGTACAATTATGTCTACCTCTGTCATTATATCTACCTGTGCCATTATGTTGACCTATGAATTAAGTCTACCTGTGTCATTATGTTGACCTATGAATTATATCTACCTGTGCCATTATGTTGACCTATGAATTATGTCTACCTGTGTCATTATGTTGACCTATGAATTATGTCTACCTGTGCCATTATGTTGACCTATGAATTATGTCTTCCTGTGCCATTATGTTGACCTATGAATTATGTCTACCTGTGCCATTATGTTGACCTATGAATTATGTCTTCCTGTGCCATTATGTTGACCTATGAATTATGTCTACCTGTGCCATTTTGTTGACCTATAGATTATATCTACCTCTTCCATTATACTGGATAGTTTCTGTTTTGAATCTTCCTCTTCGTCGCTCTCCTCCTCCTCCTCCTCTTCTTCATTCTCCTCCTTCCTCTTTCTTTTTTCCATTTCTTTCAGCTGTTTTTCTATGAACTAAATAATTCATCAGACAGTAAAGATCAATGGAATTTTTAGCAATAACTTTTCTTTTTTTAAGTTCTTAATGTAATACATGTACATCATATACGAGGGGTTATCAAAAAGTTCGTGGACTAGCGTCATAAAATTAAAACCGCTTAAGATACATCAATGAATTTTTAAACATTAAATAAGCATCTTCTTTTCTATCTGTAAAATAAACTATAAATCATAAGTATTATTTTTTAGTGAATAGTAAATGTTTTTGCAAGCAATGGTATGTCAAGGCGGCGCAACCTCGAACATGACGTATTCTCTGCCTGAGTGTAACTGAGAAAAACTCTTTCTAATATGAACATTTGTCATCCGAAAATCCCATTAATTCACTCATGTGATATGATACAATTTTTCCGTAAAAGTTGCATTTTTTACCTCATTCTGTATATTCTATGAAATATTATCGTAAATTTTATAGGGAATGTCCAAACAATAAAGGGGTTAAAAATGACGTCGAAAGGGGGTAGGGTGTCATGTTACAACATTCTATAAAGATTCAGACCCTGGAAAACCTGACATAGACCTTGAAAATGTTTAAACAGGCTACAGAGAAATAAAATACATCCAGAGTACTTGTATTTAAATACAAAAACAGATTCAGCAAGAAAAGAGGCACACGGTTAATGTCGATTTGTAGTCAGGGTGTCCAAAGTCAGACACATCGAAAAGTGACGTTGATCATTGGTTGACATGAACTCAGGCAAGAAAATTATGCTTACAAAATCAAGCGACGATTTTTTTCTATGAATAGGTTTAATATTTACAATATTAATGCATTGAAATCAGGTGTTAATGATATTGTAAAGTCATATAAAACAAGACGGGTTTAGGTCTTTACTTTACTCCAGAGAATCTCATCAAGATAAGTGTATTGAGGCAGAGAGAGAGCGGGCATTGAGAAATAATGTCGTTGTCGGACGTCATGAAACTAAACGGCGACAGCGCCGGGTGATCATATAATGCCCTTTTTATTTAAGAATAATTTGGCAAATTATCAATATATCAAGCTGAAATTTTTAACACTTCTTCAACTTTTGTTGTTTTATGTTCCCTACAAATTTTGTAATCAACAACTACATAATAATAATTTTATCGCATCAGTCCACGAACTTTTTGATAACCCCTCGTATAAGTAAAAATTAAGTTTACCTTTTTGGCTTTTTCCAAGTCCTCTTCATACCTTTTGACGGTTTCTGTGGCTTGTACTAATTGGACTTTCAGGTCAGTGCAGTCATCTGCTAGCTGACCTTTGACCTGAATTGCAAATCATTATTTAGAATGGTCATATTCTGGAAGACATACCAGTTAAAAACAGGAATGTAAGACAACAAAAATAATGACTATTTCACAGAATTTTAGCACTTTTTTTGTCCATTTACACCTATAATATTCATGAAATTATTTCTCTTTCTTTTCAGTCACATGCAAAAAAAAATATAAAAACAAACATTGCATAGATTTGATCAAGCTAAAAATAGAGAACAATTCAAGAGGATAATTAATTTTAAAACACCACGACCAAGCAGAAAACAACAGAAGGAAAAAATTTACTGTGGAATCATTCTAATTTAGGTGGAGCTCTTTTTGAGGATTACTAAACATAGGTAATCAGAGATTACAGAGCCAACCTCAATAAATATTGTCTTTAAGTAAGGTAAAATCCCACACTAAACTAATAATCTAGTAGTGTGCATTCCTACATGCAACATTTATGCAATTTTGTCTGATAAAGCTTGCAGTTACTTGGGAATGGACTTGTCTAAAAAGTTTTACCTAGTCACTCATTCAGAAAATGCAAGTCAAATCTAGCATCTGAAGCAAGTTTGAGAGTGTTCATCCCTTATGCATCATCCATGCAAGTTTTGTTCAGATCGGCCTTATAGTTTCTTGGTAATGGACCTTCTCCTAAATCTTTAACCTGAAGCAACTCTGGTAGTGTTCATCGCTTGATGCATCATCCAGGCAAGCTTGGTTAAGGTAGGCCTTATAGTTTCTTGGTCATGGACCTGCTTCAAAAAATTTAACCTGTAGGTGTAATTTAGGTCAATTCCTGCATCCAAAGCAACTGTGGTAGTGTGCATCAATAAATGTATCATCATATCATCAGTGCAAACTTTGTAAGCATAGGGCTTGGTCACTTAAGAAACTGCTGACAAAAACTTTAACCCGGTGGCTCATCTGAAAAAAGTACCGTATATAGCGGGTACTCGCCTATAAGTCGGATTTTTGGGAGTGAAATTTTGGTCCAAAACTCTATGTCTTAGGCGGGTCATAAAACGATTGGTATTTTTCTTAACGATGAAAGGTTGTGTTTTATAAACAATCCCACTATCTTTGAACAAAGTCTTTATATATTATATCAAATATGTATTCTAAGATTATGCATAAAGTAAACAAGTATTTACAATTTTTTTTTTTTATCTCTTATTTATTAATGATTTAGAATTAAATATTGATGTCATTTTTTAAAAAAATAATGTTTGAAACCAGATTAAAACATAAGAGAAATGATTTGAAATTGTCAACCAATTCTTGCAAAAAGTTGCACCGACTTATAAGCGGGTCAATGGCAAATCCCTTCAAAATAACCGCAAAAAATACAACCGACTTATAGGCGGACCGACTTATACGCGAGTATATACGGTAGGTCAAATTCAGCATCCAAAGCAACCCTAATAGTGTCCATCCTTAGATGTATCATCCATGCAAGTTTTGTCAAGGTAGGGCAAATGGTTACTTCAGAATGAGTCTGCTCCAAAAACTTTAACCTGGTCACTCATCCTGAGAATGAAGGTCAGATCCAGCATCCGAAACAAGTCCAGCAGTGTGCATCTTTAGATGTATCATCCATGCAAGTTTGGTCAATATAGGACTTATAGTTACATGGAATTGAGTCCTGCTCCAAAAACTCTAACCTGCTCCAAAAACCTTAACCTGGCAATTCTTTAGCTGAAATTGCAGCATCTGAAACATTAACTGGTACAATGAAGCATACAACAAGCTCTCTTTAATATAGGGCATAGAAGTACTTAAAAAGAAATCTGCTCCAAAAACTTTAACCTAGGATGCCGACACCAAAGCCAAGGGTATTACATAACTCCACCCAACTTCATTGAGGTGCATGAGCAAAAATCTACAGGTTTATAAGAATGAAATGTGTTATGGAAGAACATTTTTCTGTAAAAGACATCACCTGTGTTCAATATTCATTTGTAAATTTGTGGGTAATGGGTAACAAAAACTCCAAGAAAATTATATCCCCATGAAATAAAATGATTTCACAGAAGTCTATAAGGAGACAGATTAATGTATATTGTGCTACATCCCTTTATACACATTTTACAGATCAAAGGTTACACTTTGTTATGTGTATATACAAACATAATGTGTGACATGTCAGTTTCAGTGACAGACAGTATAAAAGTGGAATACACAGATTTATATACATTGATACAATAGCCATCAAACACAACTGATACGATGTACCTGATATTCTTCAACTTAACTGCTAATCTGAAAAATACATGGATTTTTATTCTACTATGATTTTCTGCATATTGCAAAACCATAATACATGTATGTGTTTTCATAATCATGATTATTACATACCATTAAAATTCCAACATATCAAATTTGGGTACTTTTTTCAGAGGTTGCCAGATCCTAGAACAAATTTTCAAAGCATACTCATTACTTATGTGGTATATACAATAATAAGAAATACTTACAATTTTCTCTCTCTTTATTTCTTTATTCAGTCTAAAAATAACCCATATCGAAAATGAATACAAAAATAATACAAGAAAAAAATACTAAAATAATACAAAAAAAGTATATTTTTAATGACCAAATTTGGAACCCTCTAAATCTTGGTTCCAATTTAGGTCAAAAATAATAGACTTTCTAAAAGCCAAACACAGAAAAATATATTTTTAATATACTTTATTTTTTTGAAATAATACAGAAATGATACACATGACCTGTAAAAATGTATTGTTTTTGTACTTTTGTATTATTTCTCTATTTTCCTCTCCAAAGTATAAAAATAATACAGTCCATAGAAAAGTATAGAAAAAATACAGAATGTATTAATTTTGTATTAGCATATATTATTTTTGTATTTTTTCACCTTTAAGAATTAAAATACAAAAAAAATATAAAATATATTAATTTTGTATCACATATATTATTTTTGTATTTTTTCATCTGGAACAATTAAAAATACAAAAAAGATATAAAATATGAAAATAATACAGTACACAAAAAAGTATGAAAAAAATATAGAATGTATTAATTTTGTATTAATATGTATTGTTTTTGTATTTTTCTCAGCATGAAGGATTGTATTTCAAAAATATCAAAAAAGTACAAGAATGATAGACAAAAAATACATTTAAATGCTTAAAATAATACAAAACAGTTTTAAAAACTACAAAAATTATCATGGGCAAAAAATTGTTATTTGAAGAAAAGGGGTTGGAGATCGAGGTTCTTAACAGCATCTATTGATTGTTATTCAAAAATCTTCTATTTATTTGAAATATTTTTTAAATAATAATTTGAGTAACTCAGTCAGATTACTTTTAATGTACAAATAGCTAATTAAAAAGTAATAAATATGGCCAGGCTACTGATTCAGCTACCAATTGTAGTCTTTCTTTTTACATATAATCTGCTCTTCAATAGTCTTGATCTTTTTCACAAGTTAAACTAATCCTGTTTTCTTTGTACTTTTACCAAATGTTTCAATCTTCTCTCTGCTTTTGTATGGAAAAAGGTAGAGGAGTGTTTACTTTGTTGCAGAAGTCCATCTTCATATCACACAACCTGTCATCTCATCTGACTTCATCGCTGTGAAATATAGAACAGAATGATATAATAATAAAATCAATAATAAAATTTAATGAACCATTACCTCAACAAAACACACATTTTCACATCCAAAATAATTCTCTATAGAATTTGTTTAGCTCACACACCTGCAATACTTTCTTGAGAGGGATCTTCTTCCTCCATGACTAATCAGCTTTTCTTCAATGTTCTGCTGACTAAAATTAACAATAATTATAAATTGAAATTCCAAAAGATCCAGCAGAGTTCACCAAATTCCATACAATTGTACCATTGAAATTACTTTCCTTTAATCTGGGGTTTCTTAGGGGACAACCATTTGATTTGACAATCTGGATAAGAAAAGGGGGGGGGGACTGATTTATAAAATATTTTTAAAAAAATATTTGTAATAAACAATCTGTCCTTGTCAATGTTGAAAAAGTAAACAAAATGTGTGCCCCAATGTTATTTAAATAAACTGCCCCCTCCCCGAACCCAACCTACCCCCCCCCCCCCCGAAAAAAATTTGAGTTTATACAAATTACAGAATTGTTTTTGAAGGGAAAATAAATAATTCGTCTCTGGTAAACTTGAAAAAATTGGAATGAATTAGAACTAGGAAGCCGAAAGCTTGAAAATTACCCCTATCTTCCACCCCTACCTCCCCAATCAGAATTTATCACAAAAACCCTTGTTCCCCACATGGCCAATAACCGTACTATTTTATCTTTCTACAATACTACAAAATAGGTAAAAAAGGGCATTCTTTGATCCTCTATCTTTGTACTAAGATATTATTTTAAAAACTGAAACTTTAATGTGCTAAAATATACATAATCTTACCGCAACTGTCGTTGTTTACACCAGAAAAGTCCTGATACGATGCCTAAAAAACGTCAGTCTCCTTATGTATTCGCTTTCCTTGGTTCATATATATGATCCTGTTTACCATGATTATGCTGAACTTCTGTTTTTCGATCCATTTTACTCGCAAGCAAATGCTAGTTTATTCAAAATCACCTCCAGCTTTCTCAACACGTCCCGGGAAGAATTTTCAAAATGGCGTGGGTGAAATATTGTTGACCAATCAGAGAACAGTACGGAAGAGTTTTAAAATCTGACCAATCATATTGTGTCATATATACGAAAATTACCGATGTTGAGATCGGAACAGTTAGAGAAAACATATTTACATGGTTTTAAATATCTTGAATCAAGTGAACAAACCTAAAATTATGTTAGAAAAAAAACGATGTTCAATTTAATCATCAGAATCATTCTTTTATTCCTTACGGAATTTACCGATTACGAAACATTGTTATTTTCGGTCATCATTTCCGCTGAGAGCAGCCATTTTTATATTCAAGTTGACCTGTGAAGTAGACCATAAAGTTCAAATATAATGATCAAAACGAGCGGGAGATACATAAGATATAGCCTTTTTGACGGACAACTTAACTCATACGTACGGTACCAGAGATTGAAATAATGTTGAACAACTATCCTTTACACCAATTTCACAACATTTTCTATATTATTTCATGAAATTCTTTCGTAATAATTTCTTATTTAATTTTTTTTTAAAGGCGGATAATTAAATAGTTCTATTCCATGTAATTGTAATACGTACTGAATTGAATATAACGTATACTAAATTGAGTTGTATAGTCAAGAAAACATCGTAGGTACTGTAATTAGTGGAACTCCCCATGTTGTTGTTGTTTTTTTTTTTGTTGGGATGTGTTTTCACAGGTAAATCATATTATTTCTTTGAGTAGTATAACATGTACTCGTCTATTGTTAGCCTGCAGGTGGCCACCTGTGCTGTTGGCGATAGTTGTAAACACTTGGTTGTAAACACGCTGTAAAATTTTCAACACAAAAGAAAGTCTGAAACTCTGAAGCTTCAAAATTTACCGCGTGTTTACAAGTATCATGTACAGCACAGGTGTCCCCTTAGACGTATCTATCCCTTTCCAAATGACAATTTCACACCTAGTAAAGACATGTTTTAAAAATGAAATTGTTTAGTTAACAAATTTAAACTACTGAAGTTTTCTGTTCTAAATAGCCATTAAATTTAATGTGAATAGTATAAAAGCAATCTTTTACAGCAGTGGTCTTAATTAATAAAATCTGAGAAAAAAATATTAATTCCAACAGACTTATTGCAAGGACATTCTGTAAATTTTACTAAGTTCAAAGAAATACAAATTTCAGTAAAAGAAAACACTAAGTCCAAAATAAATATAAAAAAAAATACATACTGACTGTATAGTATTTTTTGAAAAATTATTAAGTCCAAATTTAATACAAAAATAATACAGACTAACTGTATGTAATTTTCTGTAAAATTACTAAGTTCAATTTTAATACAAAAATAATACAGATTAACTGTATGTAATTTTCTGTAAAATTACTAAGTTCAATTTTAATACAGAAAAAATACACTTGAAAAAAACTAAGTCCACAAAAATACAAAAATGATATACTGAAAATAATCTAAGTCCCAAAAAATACAAAAATAATACCCTGTAAAAAATCAAAGTCAGATTTTAATACAAAAATAATCTACCTATTTTTTGGTGATACAAAAAAAATATATTTTTTATGTATTAATTTTAAACAATACGAAAATGATTGTATTAAAAATATATTAAAAATATACTTTTATGTATTATTTTTTGATATGGGAATTTTTAAAAAAGGGGGTCAAATAACTAAAAAAATTATGACTGAAAATTGAAATATGTTAATTTCAAACTATAAATATACATGTATATTATGATTATTGCTGACATACTTTTTACCATGTGGGATTAATTTACACTATGTACGCAGTGACAGATTTTTCTGTGGAAATTTTCACATCATACTTAAAGAGCAGTAAAGACATGCAAAGGCAACCCAAAAAATCTGTGTGATTTTCTACCCACGAATTGCAGAGAAATTGTGATTCCATGAAATTAAGACCCCGCAGAAAAAAGTACATTTACATTACCTCTTAATGATCTGTTGTTGCTTTTCTAATTCACTCAAGAGCTGATACACCTTGGAAGAGAGAGCCTTTGTTTCTGTAAAAAAAAATGATGCATAATCCTCATCATCCATCATCAATAGCATCATCCAATGTACATACACATACCTGTATCTCTATACAACATGTTCATTCCACATCTATTTCCTTTTGTCACATTGAAATACATGTACATGTAGCTTCTAAAAGTCAATTCACATCATTACATATTGCTGTGCTACTGTATACAAAAGGAAGCTTTTTCAAACACCACATTGATGTACACATAATGTCTCTGTGATAACTATATAACATCAAGGTTTAGACAGCCTTTTGGTGTCACATTCATTATGATATAATTAATTCAAACTTACTTTTTCCCGTACTTACACATATATGTATATGGATATACAAATATCGTTAAAGTATGTAGAAAGTGAAGTATTTTCATGGCATTCTATTTGAAATCTTTTAAAAGAAATCTTATTCTGGATACCATATTCAATCTGATATAGAAGAAGCCAAGAACAAACAATTACAACTTTTATTGAAAGTGTCCTGAAGGTACCAAAAATTAACATCATGTTATTTTCTCACGTACGCAGTTTAACTTTAATGCAATTCAGATTTAACGTTGACACCTCAAAACTGAAATAAAACTGGCTTAAAACTGAACAATTCTTATAAATATCTGAATCTCAGCGAGAAAGGAAATTTCATTCGGCAGCTGCCTATGTCTGCCTATGTGGGCTGAAAATTATTGCATTTATACATTTATTCCAAGATGAATTTATCTGCACACCTACCCTCCGAGCTTTCTTCCCTGACTTTCTTCATCATTCCTACAATCTCATCAGCAGCATCCTTCCAGGGAGAAAAATCTGCCGTGTCTGCAGAAATCTTCAGTGTTTGTATGCTGACTACATAGTGGAGAAAAACAAATCAGTGTTTAATTTTGTAGATATGTATGTATTATTTTATAACATTACAGTTGATATCAATGACCAAATCAATATATGAACAACACAAAACAAGGTACAAAATCAGTTTCTATGTCTTCTTTTCTTTTTCTGTGCAAATCAAAGTTCCACACAGATGCTGAACATAAAATACATGTATCTTGGAATAGGTGTTATATGGAAGTCCTGTATGTCAACACTGAGGATATTACATAAGCTCCCCCCCCCTCAAACCTCATTTAAGTGAGCTAAAAAGTAAAAGGGGGTCGGGGGTTCCTCCCCTCATTGGGGGTTGAGGGGGAATACCAGAATAACAGGGGGATTTCAGGGCTTTCAAAATCTGCTGGTACCCGGTACTTTTACTCAGCTGAATTCAGATTTATACTGACTAAAAAATATTTAGCGAAGAAAAATTCAATCACATTTTAATTAATCTTCTTCTGCCAGGTATCTCCTATTTTTGTAAAAGTACGACCTGTTTCAAATCTTTTTGAAAGCCCTCAGATTACGTCATTATAGACGGGGAAATTCCCTGGTCCTTGGGTCTTAGGGACAACCCTGAAATCATGATGTAAATTTGCAAAAATATATACTGACCAGTAATAAACATATGAAGGTTTGTATATATTGCAATAAGGAACATTTTTTATTATTTTGCTTCAAAGAGAAATACTCATTTTTTTTTTTAATTGAAATTCTCTTTTTTTGGTGAAAAGGACATGGACACACTTTAGTATGCCTAGCTACATCCCTTTTCTTCTGTGTGTTAGACTTTTATTTGATTTTCAATGCTAGTGCTCCATGGTTTTACAAGTATAGTGATGGGAATTTTCAATGAGTGCATCAACCTTACTTGTTTTCATGAGTTGAATGTTATCAAAAACCTTTCTTCCAACTTGTCTCTTCTCCCTGTGATAATAAAGAATAAAACTTTCTTTTAATAGTATGTCATCTGATTTCGATGCTCGTGTACCATATACATTAATGACTTTCACATTTGTACAAGTTATCTCCCTTTTGGGAAAAAACAACCATACAATACAATAGAGAGGTTGATATTTCATACATAAACAGGTACCTCTAGTCAGCTAGTAGTGGAAGTTAAAACAAAGACACCGATTGCAATGTTCTGCTACTAGATCATTAAAATCTCAAGAGACAAACTACAAAAATGTGTATGTGTATGTGTCATTTAGTCAAAGTATACGTACAAATACATGTACAAGTTTAAGATGATGATCTCAACCTCTCTAATAATAGTAATATATTGACATAGTATGGGCCAATATGGGAAATATAATGAACCTATACAAACAGATTTCATTGGTCAGACATTGCCCAATAAAGTTGGTAAAGAGGTAAATAGTATTGACTCAACAAAGAGAATTACACTTGTAAATTTGAAAGTTGTCTCTATTAGTAAATAATGAATCTTTTGTAATTCTTTCAAATTATTATTTCCTGTTGATTCAACAATAAAAATGTCAGCTTTAAGTCATACACAGGTTCAGTACAATCAGTACATTTAGCTATATAGCCAAAATTACCTACCACTAAGCTTTACTTACCTACCTTAGGTAGCTTTATTTAGCTATTTCAAGGCAACTTTTAACAATTTTGCTTTTTATCTTAAAGAGACAAAAAATCACAAATAAATGACTAACAAGAGGCCCAGGGGCCACATCACTCACCTGAGCACTGTGGCTAGGAAAAAAGCAAAAATCAGTACTGAAAAGCTTTTTCCTATATACTCCTGTGTTAAACTTTGATCGTCCATTGTGGCCCCACCCTACCCCCAGGGTCATAATTTGATAAACTTGAATCTACACCGACTGAGGATGCTTTCACATAAATATGACTAATCATGGCTTTGCTGTTCTTGAGAAGATTTTTAAAGATTTTTCCTGTGTTTTCCTACGTTAAACTTTGATCGTCTACTGTGGCCCCACCCTACCCCAAGGGGTCGTGATTTGAACAAACTTGATTCTACACCACCTGAGGATTCTTCCATATAAATATGACCAATCAATGCTTTGCTGTTCTTGAGAAGATTTTTAAAGATTTTTCCTATGTATTCCTAGCAGGGTTCTTCAAGAGCTGTTTTACTGTGTTGGCCCAGACACAGTAAAATTTTCCCCGACACAGTAACGATTCAAATTTTATACGTGTGTCACAGTAAAAATTTTGCGACATGGTAAGATCTGAAGATCAGAAAATCAAAACATTAATTCTCTCTAACTGAAACTTTAATCAAACAAATCTAACGTCTTTCAATTTTTAAGGCAGAGCACTTAATTATCTCTTAATTAGGGCACTTTGTCTTGCCTCACCTTGCATAATCAATTATCTCCTAGACCTTTGCTGGACTTTACGCATGAAGGAACAAAGACATATAATTTGTTTTCA